GACGGCGTGCGACGGCGCCGGATGAAACGGAAGAGAGAGTTGATGGGGTGGACCTTGTCGGGGAGTTTGTGGGCGAGTTGGGGTGGTAGGTCCTGTGGCTTTGAGCAGCCTCTCCGAAGAGGACGTGGCTTAAGTGGTAGTTGAGGGGTCGCAGGAAACGGGTCTGGGAGGGGCAGAGGCGAGGAGGCGGTGTTAAGGGGCCCACGCTGGGGAAACGGGGCCAGGCTGGTGGGGGCGGGACAGCTTGGGTGCGAGCGGGGAAAGGGGTGCAGGACAGCCTGGGGGCGTCTGCCCACGGCCGAAGAGGTGGAAGAAGAGTGCCTGAGACCGGGCGGCGCCTGGGACTCAGGGGGTGTTCATAAATGCAAGAGGTTCGGAACGCACTGGCGCGGTGGCCCGCTCAATTGGGAAGAGGAACATGGGCGATGGAAGGGAGCAAAAGAGGGTAAAACTATGGCAAGAACTGAGGGCCTGTCCAGGGAGGGCCTGGGGAAGAGGGGAAGGAAAGACTGTAGAGTGACCCCATTCGGATGTTGGGATGCAGCCCATGGACATTGGCGGGCGGGGGGGCTTCTCTTGATTCATCTTCTCAATTTCACCCCCAGCCGCTGGGTGACCCTGGGTGAGTCCAGCGCTCTCTGCGCCGGGATTCCGGACTGGAAAACCACACAACTCTTTTGCTAAGACCTGGCTGCCTGAAGCCCTGGGGGGAGTTGGAGGTGGGGAGGTGGGGGGAGTAGGGTGTCCCCGGGAGCAAGGAAGCAGACTCTGGGCCCTCCTTGGGACCGGAACTGGGTTTCAGAGGGGAGGGAGTGCATGTGCACGCTCCCTGTGTGCTAGGCTGTCACCACCTCCTCGCAGTTGCATCCTTGGACTTAAATGGGTAAAACGACATACAGGAAATCTGTCCTCCAGCGGCTGTGAGCTCAGCCCCAGAGGCAGCCAGTGTGCCCTGCTTCTCTTCTGCATGCCTGTAGGCCAGGGCTCTCAGAGGCAAAGCCTCTCCTGCGCTCTGTGTCTGAGGTGGTAGCTGGTGGAGACACTGTGCCCTGCAGTTGGAGGGTCCCAGCTCCTACCTTGCTGTGTCGGGGTCTAGGAGTCTCCAGGCCCTGAAGCCATCCAGGAGCAGTGAGAGGTGACAAGGGCAGCTGGAAAGTTGTTTCACCATCTGATGGGCCCGATTCTGGCAAGGGCCTTGCATAGGGCAGTTTTGATCAGCATTCATATCTCTCCTTTCCTGACTGTGGTGAACCTTGTCTGGGATCTGCCAGAGGGCTGGGGAGCCGGGGCTTATAACTCACACAGGAGATAAATCTGGATAGCTTGAATGTAAACAGGACCATAAAAAGATAGCCACCCCCTTCACCTCCAGAGTGTTCTGGCCCTTGTGAAAGGTGGCTCCAGGACACTCATTCAGAGCCCGTAGTCATGCCTTCTGCAGACATTGAACGTGGACTTGCCCTGGCCAGAGCAGCCCCAATAAAGAGGACCAGAATCTTCTGGGTGCATGGCCCTGGCTGTTTTCTCCTCCCTGCACCAGGAGCATGGTCAGGTAGGCTCTCTTGGAGGGTCTTGTGTTGGGGGTTCTCACCTCCATCAAGTCTCTTTGTTTCTTCATCTGCAAAATGAATGAACTGACCTCAGTCGGCATTTCTCAACTTTGAGACCCATCCCCTCCTGATAATCTTGGTGTGTTCGGCACACAGCCCCCTTGGATTTTATGCAGCTCCCCAACTGGTGATCCCCTCCCTGCTGCAGTGGTGTGGCCTTCCATTCTACAATTTATACCCAAAAATGATTTTTTTTAAACTGCACTTTCATGTTTCAAAGGGAAAGTTTGCAGTGCCAAACATGCTCTGCACACCGCACTTGTTTGCAAAGCTCTAGCTGCATTTTGTGGTTGGAAATTGCTGGGTGAGACCTTCCCTCAGGTCCAGGCCTATGACTGCAAGGAACAGGTGAGATGTAGGAATCTCCCGTTTGTTCAGCTGTAGGATTCATTCTTCGTCCCCAATAGGGGCTTGTTAACTTGCCACTTCCCTCTCCTCATCTCATCGAAGTTGTGTGTCTTGGGTGGGCCCAGTGTTCAGTTAAGCAAGGGCTGATTGTGCTGGGGGCTGGTTCCAGGGCACAGAGATGAGCCCTCGTGCCCACCCCCCAAAACAGGAATACTGTAGTGGAGTTGAGTGGCAGTCAGTTCAGCAACAGAGCTAGCCCAAGAAGTCATAGGAATAGAATGAGGAATGACTAGTGCAAGCTTCAGGGCTTGGGAATTCCTGCAATTTCCCCAGAAGACATAGCTGGGCTCAAGCCAAGCCTTGAAGGATATGAAGGTGTGAAATGAAACCTGGAAGGAGGATTTGCGCAAGCAGGGCCCTGTGTGGCTCTACCCTTCTGTGATAGACACTTTCGTACCCAACTCTTTTATTCTGCAAGGAGGGCCTGGTTCCTATTCCCCCAGTATGGATACTGTGGCTCAGGGAGGTGATGACTTCAGAGGTGGCTCCCTGGGTGATCTAGAAACTTGAAGGATCATGAGTAACCTCAAATGGGTGAGGACCCAATCTCTAGAGCAGAGTTACTCAACTGCAGCATCATTCATATTTGGGACTGGATCATTCTTTGCTGGGGGGTTGGGGGTCCCATAAATTTAGAATATTGAGCAGCATTCCTGGCTTCCACCCACCAGATGCCAATAGCACCCACCCCTCAAATTGTGACAACCAAAAATGCCTCCAGACATACTGTGTGTCCCTTGAGGGCAGAATTGCCAACAGTAAGAGCCTCTGCTCTATCGTAAAATCTGGCTGCTGCCCCAGGCCCACCATTGCCTCGGTGGATCTTTGGAGTAAGTTGAGCTCCTTGCAAGCTGCTGTCAAGAGCAGGAGTGGGGAAAAGAGGTCAGCAAGCGAATTCTGCCCTCCAGACAGTTCTTAATCTGGAGACTCGATAAAAAGGAGGCACCACTGGGAACGGACTGAGGGGGAGTTGGACAACACACATCCAGAATGGACAGCAGAGGAGGAACAGGAGATGAGCGGGGGCTGTCTGCATTCGCCCAGACAACCATGCCATTGTCTTTCCCTTCTTTGTCTTACCACTGACCTGGATTTCTGCAGGAACCGTCCTTGCCTTGGCACAAGTTGTTGCTTTTCTTCTGAGATTAGAGGTATTTGATTCTCTTTTCAAGAGCTACTTTGGAGGTGATCCCGGATCAAGGTGGCTCTTGAAGCTACATTATGTTCTCATGTTTGCCCTCTTGTCTCCAGATGCCAGTCCATCTTTAAGACAAAAAAAAATGTTAGACAAATTGTCTAACTTTTGCGCCTAGTGCATGCTTCTCCGCTTGTTCCCCAACTGTGACATTGCTGCGGTAACTCCATGAGAGGAAATGCACGTTCTAGGGCCTTCCCGAGCCCTTGTGGGCGATGTCCCTCCTCCCCTTCTTCCCCACCCACCAGCCCTTTGTATGTCCCCAAGTCCCCAACCAACTGTGCCAGGCAGCCCCTGCTCGCCTCCCCACAGAGCAAGACAGGCCCTTCTCTCTGTCCTCCTGGATAGAGGGAGTCGCAGAACAAAGGGTTCTGTCTGAGCACTGCCAGGGCCCTGAAGAGCCAGCCTGCTGCCGGCCACTGCACAGAGCCCCCTCACTTCACCTCTCCAGTTTTCATTTTGTCCCAGAAAGGGCCTCAGAGAGTCGGCATGTCTCAGAAACGCAGGGATGAGTTTGGGTTCTACTCATTTCCTCGTCGAGACTTTCTTTCCTCGGCGGATCCCAATGATAAATAAAGTGGTGATTCAAGCATTTGGCCTGTGGATTAGTCAGAGTGATGAATAAGCTGACCTGGTCTGACTCATTCATTTATATCCCAGCTCAGCCCTGCTTCATGGGTCTGTATGTGCGAGAATGAGCTTTTCACTGCTGTCACTGCTGGCTGTGCGCGTTTCCTGTGGCTGCCATAAAAAAGTACCCCAGACCTGGCCGGTGTTGCTCGGTGGTTAGACCTGCGCACCAAAGGGTTGGGTGTTTGATTCCGGGTCAAGGGCATGTACCTGGGTTGCAGGTTCTATCCCAGCCTCTGTCAGGGCATAGTGGGAGGCAGCCAATCAATGTGTCTCACATCAATAGTTCGTTTTCTCTCCCTCTCCTTTCCTTCCTCTCTTAAAAAGGGGGAGGGGGCAATAAAAAAATACCCTCAGGTGAGGATAAATAAATAAGTAAATAATAAAGGCTCTGTCTCCAAAGATAGTCACATTCTGAGATGTTGGAGTTCAGGACTTTGACATAATAAATTGGGGGAGAGGGTGGAGACACACAATTCAGCCCATACCACTGGGTAAGGGGCCAATTTTATTTTTATTTAGTAAAGGGGTTTTGGGCAAACAGTTGGACCAATAGGGAGTGAGTACATTTTGTTTTGTCTCACTCATTTAAGTAAACATTTTAGGGGTGGTGGGCAGGTTGGTCACGCCAACTTTGGCAGCTCCCTGCTAAGGAATTTTCCAGATCTTGCACATGTCCTTCCTTACACTTGGGGTGACTGTAAAGAGGCAAGGACCCGGCTTGGGAAGGAGTGTATCTCAGACTCTGCAAGGGGCATATTTGGAGCCAGACCTGGGAGACCGTGTGTGTGTGTGTGTGTGTGTGTCCCTGTGTCCCTCCGTCCACCGGGGGTCCGGCCAAGGTTTATAATCGGGACATACTGTGGTCTCTGTCCTGAGTATTGCCAAACCTGTGGCCAGCCTAAAGGATCACCTTTACTCTGCCTCCATGACAGCACATGGATAGGCTGGGAAGGGAGCTGTTTGGTGGCTATGACCAAAGATGTTATTAACAGGTCAAAACCCTGGACCATCAGCCACCTAGGTGATGGAGGGTATCATTGGGTCTGAAAGTGAAAACAGATCTTTGTGTCAGAAACTGGGCAGGGGGTGTGCGTCGTAGCTGTGAGGAGGGGGCCTTGCTCATGTGAAGACCATGAGACTGGAGATCACAGACAGGTGGGAGGGGGTGACTCTGGGCCAGAGAGTACCCCATGCTGCCGGAGTGGCCAAAGTCAAGAATGGAAAACAGGGATGGACGTGGGGGTCTTGTTAGGACAATAGGCTATGGCTAAAGGGTTCAGGATCTCTTTGTGATGGTGGGAATGTTCTAAAATTGAGTCCAAGGAGGGGTTATTAAAGAAACTGGAACAGGGACTCCTGGTGGGAGGCAACAGGTGGCTTTTGTGAAATAATTCATCACAGCGGTTCTCAACCTGTGGGTTGCGACCCCTTTGGGGGTCAAACGACCTTTTCACAGGGGTTGCCTAAGACCATCGGAAAACACATATATAATTACGTATTGTCTTAGTGATTAATCACTATGCTTTAATTATGTTCAATTTGTAACAATGAAATTGGAGGTCCCCACAACATGAGGAACTGTATTAAAGGGTCACGGCATTAGGAAGGTTGAGAACCACTGTGCTAAGAGCTCTGAAACAACCAGTGTTAATTGAGCGGCTATTTAGTTCCAGGCATGAGATTAACAACTGCATGGCTGTTGTTGCCCAAATCCCACATTGCAGCTAGTGAGGCAGAGTGTGTCCCCAGACTTGCGACAGGGGATCCATGGGGACATGTCCCAGGTTGGGGGGGCGGGGTCCTGTGGACCTTAGAGCTGAGTAGGGCTTCCTCCTTCTCCAGGGCTGCCGAGCCGAGGTCTGAAGCAGGGCTTTAGTGTGTTGTCACTGTAGCTCTGCCCACAGGAGGTTCTCAAGGTGGCTTTCCACCAGAGCGTGACGACAGGTGGACTGTGTGATTTGGAGGTCCCTAAGGGGTCTCCTCTGCCCATCCAGACCCTCTTCCCCGGCGCCCTTCCATGTCTTTATGAGCCCACCAGTCACCTGTAAAAGACCCAGAACCCAGCCTCCTACAGAGCCTCAAAGGTCTGTTGTCCCTGTCCCCCGTAACCAGAACCCACCTGCATCCCAAGTGCCTGGCTTGACTACCATCAGTCCCTCCATACACTGCTATAGGAGCCACCCAATGGGAAACCCTCCTCTTCCCCCCTCCCCCATGGTAATCCAGCTGTCACATGCTGGTTGGCTAACCCCTTGTGTCATTCGTGCTCCCTGTGCCCAACCAGCTGGGGCTCCCCATCAAACTTGCATGAAAATTTCAACTACATCCCACATTCACCAGGCTACTGGGTAGGATCTGACCTCCTCAACCCTGGCCCCTCCCCCTCCAGCCTCATTCTGTTGGTCACACTGGTCCCCTTGTTCTGAGGCTGCCTCTGCCCTTGGAGCTCACCACCCTCACTGGGCTGCCATCCCCAAGGGCTAGGCCTGTCCGCCCCTTCTCACTGCACAGGCCTCAGCAACTGTCTATTCTAATCACTTCCCTGCTTCCTGTTCCAAAAAAAACCACCCTGGTCATTTGTTCTCACCAAAGCACCTTTAATATCTGGGGCTGAATCTTTCTCTGCAGTCATATTGTGCACTGTAGCGTCATACTGTGCACTGTAGGGTGCTGAGCAGTGTGCCTGGCCTTCACCCACCAGGTGCCATTCACACCACCCCTCCTCTCTATGGTGAGGTTCAGAAACGTCTCCCACCATGTCCTAGTGTCCACTGGGGAGGCTCTGGGTGTGACACACATCGCATCTGGTTGGAAATGCCTCTGCTCGTGGATTGGTTTGTGGTCAAGGTTCCTGAAGGCCAGGACACCTTCGCATTCTCCTCCTCTCAGTGCCCAACTGGCCTGGTTGGTGGAGGGACTGGAGAAACATTTGTTGACAGGACAGGTTGAGGGATGTAGCTACAAACCCCTGGGGGAAGGATAGGTCTTGAGGGGCAGACTAATGGAATTGCTGGAGGAGGTGGCTGCCCTAGCACATGCCTGGGGGAGGGGCTTACTCCAGGGCTCAGACCGGTTGGGCCAGACTGGGAAGCCTGAGGGGTATGTCTTAGGAAAGAAAGGGACACACTCAGGCAACAGTTAAGAGAGGGTGTCTATACTTGGAATATCCAGTACCCTCTGCACTGGGGACCTGGATTTGTGCCCCAGGGTTGCCATAAGCTGGTACCCCAAACCAAGCAACTTAAACAATAGAAATTTATTCTCACAGCTTTAGAGGCCAGAAGTGCAAAATCAAGGTGTCAGCAGGGCCATGGCTCCCTCCAAAGCCTCCCTGGGAGACCCTTGCCTCTTACAGCTTTGGGGGTTCCAGGTGTTCCCATGGCTGTGGCCGCATTGCATCACCCCAGTCTAAACCCTAAGTTGTCCTCCAGCTCTGAGTTGCCTTGACTGAGAAACACACTTGTTTTGTAGCTGTTTCTCAGCATCCATCTTCCCGATAACGTCACATGATCATTTCTTCCTAAAAAATTCAAGGACACCCGCGAGGAGATGTGGAAATGCTGTGTGTTCTACGTGGTACCTCCTACATGATTCTACAGTCATGCCAGCCCCCTCCTTTTAGCTTGGGAATGATTTCATCTGATAAACATGTGGCTGCAAATTATGGCCTTATATAAACGAAGCTGCTCCACTACACTTTCTGGAGGCCCCGTCTGCCTTATTTTCCAGTAAATTCCAAATTGTTCGCCAAACCTATAGGCAGAACCTTGCTTTTTCATGGATAAAGCCTTGGCCAGGCCTTGAGCTCATGCACATTTGTCCACTCATCCACCCCTGGGGCCGAATTTGTGGTTGCCTCCCCTTCTCCCCTGTGCCTCCTTTCTCTAGGAGCATGAGAGAAAGGCCCTGAATTGAGGTTCACGTCTTCTCAGAGTGCAGAAAGTATACGAGTGTGGCGTTTGCAAAGCCTTAATTTTTCACAGTTCAGGTTTTACAGTGGGAACTTTGATTATGCACATAACATAAAATTCACTATTAATAACATTTAGTGCATTCGCAGTGTTATACAGCCATCACCTCTATCTAGTTCCAAGACATTTACATCACCCCTTAAGGAAACCCCATCCCCATTCGTTTGACACGCCCATGTCCCCTCCCCCACCCCCTGACAACCACTAATCTGCTTTCAGTCTCTGGATTTGCCTGTTCGGGACTTTTCATATAAATGTGATCATTTACCATGTGGCCTTTTGTGTCTGGCCTCTTTGCCTCGGCATGTTTTCAAAGTTCATATTGCAGCATGTATCAGTGCTTCACTCCTTTTTATGGCTGATAAATATTCCACTGTGTGGCTGGACCACATTTTGCTTATTCTTCATCCTTTGATGAGCATTTCATTCCCACCTTTTGGTCCTCTCAGCGGGAATTTTATAGTCTGCCAGCTTGACTTCCATTTGGTGGCATAGTTCTCTCCTGAGTCCTGGGGAGACAGATTTCCATCAATGTGGGGGTATGTTTTGCTTCTGTTCACATTGTGTGCACGTCTGAGAGTATTAGCTGGAGGACAGAATGGGCATTTTAACTTCGGGATATTTGGTGAGATGGTTTAGATGAAGGACGGACACGTGGGTTTTTAGGACCTGCTGCCCCGACACATGGCTGCAGCCTGCGATTGCCACTTGCCGAGCTGTGTCTCACCACCATCACCCTCCACCCCCAGACCTGCCACCTCCAGTTCCTCAGCCCCTGACCTGCTTCCTTTCAGTCCGGGGATTCTTGAGGCACAGGTTTCACATCCACTTGTAACAAGGAATTTAAGCCATAGCGTGAGGGATTTCCAGGTCTCAGACTCTGTTAAGACTCAATGAGGAAGGCATGCTTGGAAGCCAAAGAAAACCCTCCAACAGAGATGTCATTGTTTAATGACAATTAGTTAATGAGTTATCCATGAATCATCAT